ACAGGAACCCATAGCAGTAACATGCTGAGAAAGCCTATGTTGTATTGTCTTCTTTCAGGGTGCCTTCCTCATTGTTCCCGTTCCCTCTTGCAGCAAAGCATTGTCTCGCGCCCCAACTAAAGTCTTCTACAGTGGTCTTTTTGACTTTCAGGTTTTATTTTGACATGAAAAATTCATTTTATTCAGACATAGAATGAAATGTTTGTACACTTTAGAACAGAGAACTGAGTGTGACGATTTATCAATGAAAGGTTAAGGAAACTTAAAAGAAGCCTGATATATTAACAGAACATTACAAGCTTCCCAAGATGAATATTTTTCCAGTCCAGGCCATTTTCACAGCAGATATTTTGACTCGTGATAGAAGAAAAAGCACAGGTGTATAATAAGATTGACGATAGCTTTGTTGTGTCCGAGTCTGAGTAAGCCATGACAGTGTGACAGTGAGCCCAAAACGGATACCTGAAACTGAAGCAGATAAATGGAATTCAGCCATCATTCATTTTATTATTTACACTTTTTGCTACTGCCTATTGTTGTAGTCTAAGACAAGGCTTAATTTTCGGGAAAACTGGCAATTCAGAATAAGGTGCAGAGGTGTAGGATGTCCGTCGGTTTGAAGATGTTTCTTTTACACATTTTTCTTCCATGTAAAATGTTTTTGTTGCATCGCAAAAAAAAACCCAACATGAAATCTTCCAGCCTACTCCAACATCCCTAATTGGCTGCCCTCCTTTTCTCCTCCAGGCTGTGGTGTCATGGTGTGAAAAGCGGAAGGAGAACAGAAGTGGTGGTGTGGAGGCAAAGAGAGGTGAGTTTCAGCTAAGATATTGATCTGCCACTGGACAGGTCAGCAGGATTCTTTCCACTAACACAGTCCACACACTTAACCTCTGATCTCCCATGACCCCTTCTTCAGCTTAAATGGGCCCCTTCTCACTGGTTGAATATCCTAATATCTACCTATCTATCTATCTATCTATCTATCTATCTATCTATCTATCTATCTATCTATCTATCTATCTATCTATCTATCTATCTATCGTTGCAACAAACCCTACGATCAATCGATCGATCGTAGAATTTGTTGCAGGGCTGATATATTAAATTGCATTAGTTTTAATTGGGTGAATCTAATAAACTGGCAACTGAGCGTGTTTCAAATATCTTTGATGGATAAACTAGGTGAATTTGACTGAATGGGTCCTAAAGCCAACTCATGTGGAATGGATTTACTATGTGAATGTCAAATCTGCACAGCATTGATGTTTGTCCTCTTCACATCTCCCAAGAATACAACCAGTTCAGAGGAGATTTGGAGTGACAACGATTACAATAACAATTAAATGGAGCCAAGAGATCTACTCATAATATCCACGTTAGCCCAAGTAACCAAAACTGAGTTTGTTGAAGTGAATCAGTGATCCTAAACCTTTTAGGAAGGAGTAAAGCTTTTAGGAAGCACAAACACAAGCTGCCAACAACACGGACAGAGAAACTCTGCTTTCAGCTTATATGACATGATTACACCACCTTAAAGTCGACCGTTATTCATTGGTAATCAAAAAAGTGGGCAGAGCTTCGACAGCCTTAACGCAAAGGGTGTGTTGAATATTTGTTGCAGCAAGCAGAGTATGTCATGTGTGAATGTAGCGGAACAAATGACCTGCCTGATCTAGCTGGCAGGCTTTGCTCCATTAAATTTTAACCTTTTAGCATCACTGTGGCTCCTAGGGCTGTGGTTGTTATGAGAAGCCTGGGTTGCTGCTGTTTTGGGTTTACTTGGACCCTTGAACTCATTGACATTCTTCTGCTCCTTTGGAACTTGGTCTCACTTCTATGCTTCTTTGTGGCCACCTACAGAGTGGACTTACAATAAGCGGATTGGAAGATAATGCTTTCCTGAATCTTCAGTTGAGTCTGTAGTTGTGTGCCGTACTGAATCTGAAAGATATGAATTTCTTTTTTATAAGATGCATTTATCAAAATTCTCACGTAGGTAAATGAATGTCCTTCTCTGCCAAGTGAAAACCAATAGGTTTGTGGGTCTCTGGGTAGGTTGTGAGGCCTTCGTTCAATTTTAGATCATCTCTCCACAACAGCTTGTCTGCTGTTGCCTTAAAGGAAGTTCCCTTTTAGAGTGTAACCTTCACGTCAAAATGACTTCTTGCTGCTGGGGAAATGGTAGAGTTCTTGTGAACACTTGCTAGGCCACCATGCTCTACCAAGATTGAACTCCTCAACAATATGCAGTCTTTTTGAGGGAAAACCTTTACAGTAATACCGTCTACACTTGATTTTGCAGCTGTGCAACATGTAAATATTATTGCAAAGTTTGAAATTTGTTCTCTTTTATTCCAGTAAGAAGTGTCAGAACACAGAGGTGTTTAATCTTTATAGAAAATATAAAGAAGCTAATCTGAGCAAAAAAATGTTAAATAAGATAAGGCTCCAGCCTCGTCGTGACCCTGAAGAACAGCTAATGGATGGATGGATGGATGGAGAATAAATGACACTATTATCAGTATGATGTATGCATGACAAGATAGCCACTCTTATTGCCATAAATAAAATGCAGTACAGTAGGCTGTAATCTATTTATTGCTGACTGTAGGGGATTCACAGCATTACACCTCTTTGTTAACGTGTGGCTCTCATTCCCTTTACTTTCAAATATCCTGGGGTTTCGGCTCTAATGTGTGGCGACCTAGTAGGAGTTTACTGACTTAGGCAGTGCAGAGTGAAGTGACAGAAACTGTGGTGTATGCCCTGGCGTACAAACAAACAGTTGCACAAGCGCTACTCTGCAGAGCAACATGCACATAAATACACCCCCTCAGTCTGAATCAGGGCTGTACTGTTCGTTCTCCACTCCAACATACATAACAGTCTGAGAGCCTCATTCAGCAGCCACAGTGCCTCCATAGGGGAGGTCTGTCAGCTCGAGTAATTACTTTCTGCCTTTACAGAATTCTTGTGCTTGTTTCAACTCATTAATGCATCCACACCTTATGGCTATGTTTATACCACTGTGTGTCTTAATAGCCCTTACTTCATAGAATGCCTTTGTGTCTGTATATAAAACAGCAGGCTGTCAGGCATCCCTCTGTTTTACTGTACGGCCAGTGACTCATGTTGTGACAAACACCTTGATATTTTCAGCGATGCCAGCCAGCCGCAGAGCTCACCTGTCTGAAGATGTGATTCACTCATATTATCCTCAGGAAAGTAACTCATTGTTTGTTGTAAACATTGTGAGTATTGTTGGGTTTATGAGGGGCTTCCCCCAATGTGCTCATCGTGAACACACTTGTTTTGATCTCTGATGGGCCACAAAAGAGATCCTATTTCTGTTTCTACACCCCCCTCTCCATCATGGATATTTGCTGTTTGGCATCTTTCTAAAAGCATGGGAATCCAGCAGGCCTCTCTGCTGTTTGCCTGAACTGTTAGTAACAGGATAGTCCAAGGTTAAAATCCCCAAACAACCCACACACAGACACACGCAAGCACCTTGTTTGCCTTGCAGTCCAAACAAATACCTGCTCTGATGATGATACCTGCAATGGGCGAGAGGACAAGAAAGAAGACGAGAAACAAAAACACAATGCGCATTGAGACAACCTCAAAGGTAAGCAGAGCACCTAACGGAAGCAAAAAAACATCCCTCTTTTCTTTCTGCCCGCTGCACACCTTTGAGGCCAGTCTTTCTTGTAGCCCACCTTAGGAAAACATCCGTGCCCCCACACGACGCTGAGCCTTGTGTTTCCTTCTGTCTTTAATCTTAGTGAAAAGAGCTTTTAACAAGGCTGGGGAGGATGAGTGGATCTGTCAAAGCAGAACAAAGACAGGGAGGAACTAGGACAGATAGCAGAGTGGAAGGCTCTGCAATTTATCACCTGTTGCCCTTGGGCGGCCCTGCACTCCACACCCTGGGCTCTGTGTGAGTGTGCGTGTATATGTATGCAGGTATGGAAAGGTGATGAATGAATAAGCAAAGAACAAGAAAACATTCCTCATTCCTCTAAAAAAGAACTCAAAAGACTTTGAGCAATTATTTCCAGGGGAAAGTAGTAATCTGCTTGCTTACACTACATTTATGGGGGAGGGGGGGGGGGTGTCTAGACAACTCTGCTTTCTCTAGAACAGTGGTTCTCAAACTTTTTAACATCACGGACCCCTAAACTCACACAAATTAGACCACAGACCCCCATTTAATAATATTTTCTCGTCTGATAGGATTTGGCTTTTAGAAGTTTTATTACAGAAAGTGTGACCAAAACAGTCATTGTGTTACTTGGATGGAATTACAGTGAAAATAAATTATTCTCCTTTTTGTTAAACCCTCTCAAGGACCCCCAGGGGTCCCTGGACTCCACTTTGAGAACCACTGCTCTAGAAAAGCCAGTCCTAAAGTCCCTTTATCTTTGCCTGCCATCTTGTGGCTTGCTGTTGCACATGCAGACATACAGTATATAACTTCAGAAATACAGTATCAATATGTTGAATTTTAAAACGTAATATAAATAACAGAATCATCAACACAACCTGACTGGACTAGCATTTTTCTGAATAAAAACTGCTTTGATTCAAACTCTTCCTTGCTTAGCTAAAGCTTTCTTTTCAGCACTGAAAATGACTTGACAGCAAAACAAAATAGGAACCTTAGTACAAAAACCTTTTGGTATCTTTTGCTTTATTTAGAAATTGACAGCAACACATTTTTGACAGCCTTAAGAATACAAGTGCGACTTTAATGATACAGAAATGAAACAGCTAATTTGATAAAATGTTCTGTTTGATCTATATGGATGTTACCGGTATTTCTGACACATAGTCAAAAATATCAGGCATGTACAAATAACAACCCATCAAAGTTATGTGATTAAAAAGAAAACCCAACTTTTCCCACTACTTTGTCATGTTTACTCAAAATTCCTACATGGCCAACAACACGCGAAGGCAACTCTAGACGACTAATGACGTAGCACGCAGCCGCCGTACTTGGTTGTGGTCGGAGCGAAAAAGCTAGGAAGGAAAGGAAACATCTAGCATCGTAGATAAACACCCTATAGAGGTGTGAACCCATCGAACACACAGCTGTCCCAATACCACGAGAACAGTAAAAAGGCCAGCTTGAGTCCTTCATACAGCGAGGGTCAACATGTCCGAGACATACGGTACGTTTGTCCAGGGCGGAAGACTGTAATTCCACGCTTGCTAACCTAACGTTAGCTGTTAACGTTAACTTATACACTGCTGCTCCGTGGTGTGATGTGACAGACTGGCTCGTTATAGCAACGTTGCTAGTTAGCTAGCTACACGGTTAGCTTAGTTTGGCTGCCACCTCACTGTCTGTCTATGGGTTTTAATATTGATAACCAACGTTTCCTGCTGATATTTCATTCAAAGAAAGTGGTATAGTTTAAGTGCTTCGTGTGCTTGAGCTGGCGCCTCTGTCCTACGTTGGCGGAGTGCATTGCTTCCTTAAACGGGTTAGTAACGTTAGCAAACAGATGGTAATACATCTCCACGTAAAAGTTGGCCAAACTTGAGACACGAAGCTACAGTAACGTGTCGATACATGTAGAATGCGTTTGTAGACGCTGAGGTAATCTGAGCTGGGATTTCAAGCAGATTGGGTGACCTTGCAAGCTGCAAGAATGTTGCATTCAGTCTTACAGTGTTGTGTATTTTTAAGTTACTTTAGAGGTAGCTATTTGCTACTATGCTATATGAGGAAGTAAGATAGCTGTGGTTTATAATCCATTGGTTACCTGCAGATCAGCTGCTGTCAGGTGTGTCAGTGGTCTCTACCACATCTACTCCCATCCTGAAACCAAGTAGCTTCACTTCTGTCTGTACTTTCAGACAGTCTACATTACAAGTTACATTTTTTCTCAGTCGCTTTGGTACGGTTGTCCTGTCATCCTTAACATTTGCAAAACAGTTAATGCATTTCTTGAAACAATTCGTTCAGACAGAACCACAAAATGGATTACCTGCAAAAGACCAACTTGCACAAAATCCTTTGTTTATCACTCAGATTGTATTTATAAATACCTATGTCAGTGAACATGTCAGCGCTATCAGGATGACAAGTCCTTGTGTCATTGTTTACAGAAAAGATAGTCAAAAGCCTCAGCCATGTTGTCAATACAGCAATGTTCTGGAAGTAGTTTCTGATAAAAAACTATGGCTAAGGTTTTGATGACAGTGGTTGAAAATACACAAGGCTGGTGTTGTGCTCTGTCTATATATGCCTGCCAATTAAAGGTTCACTTCTGAGCTATTTTAGAGAACTTGTTGATCATTGGTAGATCTAACGCTTCACACATTCTCCTTCATTATCTCAGAGAGTATAGATTCATCTGAAAGCAATTCATCAATTCAGGACACATTTACATAAGTTTAATAGAAATGTATAGAAAAGACGAGTGGCACATTATGACAACTTGTTCAAACTTTTTGTATGTAATAACTTATGCAATGAATGAATGCCTAGAGGTTTTGGACATTTTGGAAAGACTGTTCAACAGAGAACCAGTATAATACATTTTAAACAACATGACATAAGCAATTGATAACGTAGGAAAGACCAGACAATTGTACGTAATCATTTGCATGAATGTGCCAACGCATTTGCAATTTGTTGAAAATAATAAGAAATTGCTTTTTGATGAGCACAAGTGACTAGATGATGTGGAGGTAGAACAAGGAGTTTTAAATTTTTCAATTCTGATCTGAGAAATGTACCAAAGCGGCTGAGGAAAAACTGTCTGCAAGCATTGACATTATGGCTGACCACCAGTACTACTGACTGTTATTATTATATGATGCATAAGTTCCTTTGCTTGATAGTATCAGTAGCACAATAGGCCTGACACAGTAGACCCAGTTGTTTTGAAATGGCGCACCAGCATCCTTTGTTGTACTCTCACACACGCTCTCTCTCCCAGCTGTTTCTACTTGGACCCTGTCTCCAGCATTCCCTGTATGAAAAATGTATCCCAGCAGGTAGTATTTAAGTAGTGCCAGCGCTAATGGTAGCTATAATAGCCTTTTTATTGATTTCTGTCTGTCTTCCGTGCTGTCTCCTCTCCTGGAGGGCTGGTGGTGGAATTGCCAAAAAGTATTATGAATACAATAAGTACAGGACCAGGTTAAATGTTTCATTAATTTTGTCTTTGGTCAGTATGGGACGCTTTCATTAGTTTTGCTTGTAAAGTTACTGAATGTGATTTATATAAGAAAAATAGAAAATATTTTTCTGGCAGTTTTTAAAAAGCAGTAAACTGGGAGCAGAGTTATTGTAAATTAAATTATTAGATGAAAAAATGATTTTAAAGCTAACCTATTCCCATGGTCCATGTGGCTCCATGTAGGCAATATGTGAATAGATACTAGATAATAGAAAAAAACAAACACACTTGTGTTGCTTGGCATTTATTTTGGCCATTGTTGTTACACTTGACATTTTGTGTATCATATTTTATTACTAGTGAAATTTAATCTAATCTCGGAGTACACAGATGCAGGAAGGCAACCATCTCATGCAGTGCACACGCCCTGCGCACTTTGTCAGTAGATAAAAGGATACATAAACCGTAGGTAGATCTGGGCCTGCGTGTGTTAAGTGTTGTCACAGTGTACGTTAATGCAGATAACAGTGTTAGTCTGTTACCTCATGTTATTTAATATAGATGTTTAAAGAATACAAGAGCCTGAAAGGCTGCTGGTGAGAGGGTAGCACCACATTCCTCTCTCCCCATTGCTATGACACATTGACAGCTTGATTGTTGTATGCAGATCTCGCATGGGAATATGTGATGTCTAGGAAGATGTTGAAAAGCTGAGGCAAGCTTTTAAAACAGAGCTGTTAGCTTTTGATTCTGTCAGTTCTGCTGTCACGACTAGTGACAATGTGTGCTTGAGATGTAACGCTGACTGCTGTTGCAGAAGGAAACTGTAGGCTAAATGCTTGTAAGCACCTTCGCTTTGCTTTAGCAGTTCTGTTACCGTGAATTTGACCTCTAGCTTGTGTTGCCTGAGAAAACACCCGCTTCAACAAACAAAGGTGCACCATAAACTGGGCTGGCAGCGGTGGTGGTGTGTTGACCGATAAAGGTGGCTCCAAGAGCACTATCATAATAAGTTTAAATGTCACACAGCAGCCAAAGATCAATTTAATCCGCTTCTGTTATTTTTTTTATAACTATGGTTTCTGTTGACCTCGTGGAGCTCAATACTTACAGGATTTTCACCTGGCTGGTAATCTCACCAGTAGTCATTAATCATTTGCCAGGCCAGCACTTCTGCCAGCACAACCAGCGCTTAAAGCTTAAACCGAAATTGCACACTGTCTGACAGACTCTAAGTGAAGCAGGCTCTCTGGAGGAGAGTTTGCAATCATTATTTGCTCTTACCGTCTTGGGAAAACATCATCACTCTCGTGTTTCCTGTTTTTCTTTTACTACCTCTCTATGCATTACTCACAGACTCACTTAAGATTCTGACTCGTATACACCTTTTTATATACAGTCTATGATATACACGCACTTTTCATCTACTCAATCAGCACATGGTTTTGTATCCCATGGGTCTAGTCAAAATGGCAGCACAGCCTACGTATGTAAATGCCCCCTGCACTATCTTGGGTCACAGCACACAAAGGCTGTCTGTACTGCGGATGGCCTCGCATGTCAGGGGCCCCGAGTCATTTGAGCTCTGCATCATCTGCGTGGGCTGGGTAGTATTCTCCAGAGCAAGGGCCCACTCTCCACAACATCTGCACAACCAGCTGGTTGTGGTCATTCAATCCCTGCACAAGTCGGTTAACCCAAGCTATGTTCAATAACTCTTTAGCTTTGGCTTTGCTGTAATGACATGTGTTATTATTACGTATTTGTGTCATGGAGGATCGTCTCTGAGGATGGAAACACAAAGAGCAGCAGGTTCAGATTCTCCCCTGACGTTTGTGTTTCATTGATCTCTACGTCATCTCCTCTGCTTTCAGACTTCCTGTTTAAGTTCCTGGTGATTGGCAGTGCTGGGACGGGGAAATCCTGCCTCCTCCACCAGTTTATTGAAAACAAGTGTAAGTTTTCTCTCATTAAAGCCCATTAGTCACATCAGGCTTGCATAAGAGTGAAAACATAATTGTATTATTACACTCATGGTCATGAAATTAGTGCTGTTGATTTCACATGTTGTTTCATGCAACACACATCAAATAAACCCTCTCGCTCTGCTGTGAGGTTACAAAAGTTCCACTTGAGAAAGTTATTCATTGACTTGAATTGTGTGTCTGTCCAGATTCCTTACATACACAGAAGGTAATTATTGAGCCAGCAAAATATAACACATGTTTTTATACTCTGAAAAAAGTTTCTTCTCAGCCTTGAATTTTATGGGTAAATGGCAATTACATTAAAACATAACGCTTTCCATTAGGGCTGCACGATATTGGAAAAGACTAACATTGCAATATTTTATATTACGATATGAAAAAATAGAGGAATTTTCACCAGATTACTTCAAATGCTCTATTTGAAATGAAATAAGCATCCTAGAATTATTGGGTGACTTGGTAGGTCTGAAGGCTTTTTGAGTGCAAACTATCCTTTCTTGAGCATTAATGCAGTAAACATATTTTTTAACTAAATGATAAAAATAAATTAAAGAGCAGCTATACACCAACCCCCTGAGTGCTTTACAGAAGTTTCTTTTCTTTTTGCAACCAAATCCACAGTTTAGGTGGTTTTCAAGTTGTTGACGACAGCTAAACAACATTGTTATTGCTGGTCGCTGTGCATGCAGAGTCTGCTTGTCGCTCATTAGCAACAAACTTTGTTTATCCAAGAACCATTAAATCGGATTAAATTATGTTACATCAGACAGATTTCTTTTGTAGAAAAGTCATGAAAAATGAGAACCATGCAAGTTTTTCTTTTGTATACATCAGCAAAAAGGTTGAGGGGGTTGAGCTTATTCGACATGCTTGACATTGCATTCTTCTGCGATGTGACTATTTCGCAAGGGCACATTGCGATGGCGATGCTAAAACGATATATTGTGCAGCCCTACTTTCCATATAGTGCAATCAAAAAAACACTAATAATACCTTAAAAATTTACTTGAATATAGAACATACCTCTCTTTTTCAACAAAATCGAACATCATAAACTTCAGATTTATTGCAGGGCTGTTGGATTGCATTAAATTGCACAGGTGTCCCGTATAAACTCGTTCAGTTTGGACTTAAAAACTATAACGATGTAGAGAAGTAAGCTAGCAAGTCAGGGAGCACAGTTGAAAGTGCGCCTGTTGGTTAGATGGAAATGTGTCCTCATAATTTGTCTAGGAAAAAATGCATTATGACATTTAACGACAACAACTGTGCTGAAGTTAGGGCTGGACGATATGGCCAAAAATGTTATCACGATAAAAAGTTTCATATCTTTCAGTATCGATAATTATCACAATGTATCAAATAGTTTTTTCTTTCAAGTTTAAAGGCTGATTTATGCTCCTGAGTGAAAGTTGAAGAAACCTAATGGTTAATTGTGGTTTAAACTTTTCTTTATGGTCAACACTTGATGCCAAACAGTGGATCACATCACAAATCTGAGATAGAACATTCAAAATATTTATGATAAAATCTTTGTCAACAAATATCTTTAAGTAAATTTAATTAAAACCTTTTTCAGTCCTTTTTCCTCAACAGAATAAACATCTTAATAAGAAAAATTAAGTCCTAATTCGTGTATGTTTCAAGTGAATAAAATCAAACATTTATTGAACATTTGTTATATTGTTATTGCAAAAAATTATATTGTGATAATTATTGTTATTGTTTTATTGTCCAGCCCTAGCTGAAGTTAGTTGTTGTGCTGTGCTGTTATCTCACGTTCTGTCCTTGTCCACTGTCTTCTCTCTTGTGTTCCTGTTACAGTTAAACAGGACTCCAACCACACCATCGGCGTGGAGTTTGGTTCCAGAGTGGTCAACGTCGGTGGAAAGACGGTCAAACTGCAAATCTGGGACACCGCTGGGCAGGAGCGATTCCGGTAATAATATTCCCTGCTTTGGGTTTGGCAAACATTTTAGAAATACAAGTAAATCATGAATTATTAAGCAATCATGCTGTCCTTAGGGCACCATCCAGCTTTAAACAGTTACCCCCAGCTGCATGTGGTAATGCCACAGCCTCATACCTGTCAGCAGCTCCATTAGAGTAACTACCTGCCTGGCTGACGATGGCAGCTAAAAGCAAGAGACAGTTTCTCATTCACCTTCCCTAGCCAGATTTCACCAGCTGATATTGTGAATGCATTATTTTAACCAAGATTCCTGCGTTCTCTCCACAGTTCGGTTACACGCAGCTACTACAGAGGAGCAGCTGGGGCGCTTCTCGTCTATGATATTACCAGGTAAAACAGTCACTGCACTTACTGTCCCTCTCTATTTCTACAAATGGTGTGTTTTGTGTAACAGAATCAGAATCAGCTTTATTGCAAGGTATGTGTACACATAAGAGGAATTTGACTCTGGATTGTACAATGCTCACAATGTGCTTACTTATACAATAATACAGTAATAAAATCAAACACAGACTACAGTATAGAATTAATTATCTCAGTTAGAAATGAACATTTATAACTGATGTTCTTCATATTGCGGGATATAGACATAAGCACATTACTTACATTCCTTAAATTTCTCCCAGACAATTCTTCTTCATTAAGTGACAAAAACAAAATATACACAAAACACAACTTCGCAGTTAGAGGAGCACATTACCACACATTCACAGCAATTAACTGTTGAAATGGGATCTGGAATTGAAATTGCAACTGACTGACCCATATTTCACTTTACTTTATTCACTTTATTTTTATGAGCATTCTTTTTAGTCTGTATGGTGTATATAAACTATAATGTGTGCCCATACCGCCTCTAGAAATTTAATGACTATGCACTGGGACCCATACAGGGAGATATGAATACTCGCACACCTATATTTCATAAGCTTTGGGTTGCAATAGAGGGATTGTGACATCAAGATGGAGTGAATGCAGTAATGCAGAGAGACAGGAATGTAATACGGTTTGTGTTTGTAAGAATGTATGGGCTTTTGTGGAGGAAGAGTTGGAGTGGAGAGTGTCAGGAGCTGTAATATAGAAGCATCCTCTGGCAGGCTGCAGCAGCTGGTAAAGCAAAAGTCCATCATAGAAAGTGTCACCTGAGGGGAAAACAGGGAGAGTAGAGGGAGAAAACTTTGGGGGGGGGGGTGGAAAACAAGAGAGTGAGTGGGAGATGGAGACATTTATCACTTTTTCACAGGTGAAAAGCTTAGCAGGAAGATGGACAGGGAAAAAGTTGAGAGAGAGTATCAGATATCAGCTGAGCCGCTTGGTCCCATCAGCTTGAGGCTGAGGAGTGACATCATCCTTTGGCTTGTTTGTTAAGGCAGCTGTTGAACATCATTCAGATCACCTCACTGGCCATGTGTTCCAATGGACACCAGGGTCCTGTCTCCATAGTGACTGGTCACTAAGAAGTTTCTATGAAAGTTATACGACTGCACCAGGTGCAAGGTACAAAGTAGTTTATTTAGCATTATATGACACAAGGTTGTATAACAACAAGAAAGTTTGCAGTCCCTTCATGCTACACACAGAACTTAGAACAGACTGCCGCTCACTGGATATTTTCTCTTTTTCTGACCATTCTCTGTAAACCCTAGAGATGGTTGTGTGTGAAAATCCCAGTAGATCAGCAGTTTCTGAAATACTCAGACCAGCCCGGGATTGTGACATCAAGATGGAGTTAATTAAATCCCCTTTCTTCCCCATTCTGACATTCGGTTTGAAATTCAGCAAGTTGTCTTGAACACATCTACATCCCTAAATGCATTGAGTTGCTGCCATGTCATTGGCTGATTAGCTATTTCTGTTAAGCAATTGAACAGGTGTACCTAATAAATTGGCCGGTGAGTGTATCTACACACAGACTTTACATACACACACATACATGACAGTTGAGTAGTGAAACAGACTAGTTTAACATTTCAGAAGGAATACTTTTGATACTTTTTTGTACTTAGTTACTTTGTAACTTGCTCTGACTAGTAAATAATCAAGTTACAAAGTTAGTCTTTTACTTATTTAATTAGTCATTTACACACATTAGAGTACCTCTCTTTTACCTACCAACCAAACTAAAGTCCTTGTGATACATCTGAGATACTGGTACTTACGATCTGGGCAGCATTTAGAGTATTTTCTCCTTGAACGGAAATAACCTGCTGCTAGTAAGTTTTCAGACTGTGGATGCAAACACAGTTGTGTTTATATTACGCTGGGTGTCTTCATAGGTGGACATGTTCACACGCGTGCCTGTACAGTCCTCGCCAACATCCACAAAATTTGAATGTCACTTGTACCCATGAGGCTATGAAGACAGGGAAAATCATTAGCTTAAAAAAAAATCAAGAGCTTAACGTGTGACAGGTCGAATCTTCACCACCAGCAATAAACTAGCCGTTGTGTCCCCTCTACCTGTCTTTCTTTCCTGTCCTGTCTTACAGTCGGGAGACATATAATGCTCTAACCAACTGGCTGACAGATGCACGGACTCTGGCGAGCCCCAACATTGTTATTATCCTGTGTGGCAACAAGAAAGACCTGGATGCAGACAGAGAGGTGACCTTCCTGGAAGCGTCGCGCTTTGCTCAGGAGAACGGTAACTCATGTTAAATCTAAATCAACGTGGTGGTGATGGTGTAGTGGATGAGATGCGTGCCTTTGGTGTGAGAGACCCGGGTTCAATTCCCCACTGACCCATCCACCATTGTGTCCTTGAGCAAGACACTTAACCCCTAGTTGCTCCAGAGGCGTGCAACCTCTGACATGTATAGCAATTGTAAGTCGCTTTGGATAAAAGCGTCAGCTAAATAAATAAATGTAAAGGTTTTTTAAATCTGCATTACACACATGTCTCTCTCTCTCTTCTTATTCTTATTTCTTTTTGTCTGTCTTATTATGTATGCTTGCTTTTCCTAATGGATGCCTGCCCATCCTGTCTTTTGTTTCTCCTTGTGTCTTTTTTTGTTCTTCTACCTTGAAATGTGTGCTGCTTTTTTTTTTTTTGCCTATGTAGAGCTGATATTCCTGGAAACCAGTGCTCTGACAGGGGAGAATGTCGAGGAAGGATTCCTGAAATGTGCTCGCATCATCCTCAACAAGATAGATTCAGGTACTTTTCTCATTTATTTGTTGAAGAGGTGTGTCTGAGTTGGGCGTTTCTGTGAGAGTAAGCAGACCGTTTGCATATTTGTTTTTTTACTTATGACCTCTGTGCTTTGCTTGAGGGCATGAAGCCCTGTGGATCTGCCTTTAGTCTAGTGTACATGTCTGTGCCTGCTGACATTTGTCATTATGGTTCATTTCAAAGGTGAATTGGATCCAGAGAGGATGGGTTCAGGTATCCAGTATGGAGATGCTTCATTGAGGCAGCTGCGACAGCCGAGAGGCACCACCACACAGAATAAACAGCAGTGTAATTGCTAGGGATCGTCCCCACCCTCACCTCAGCCCACAGGCCCATACAGACAGGACGCCCCCTACAGGTCAGTGGCATGTAGTAACTGCTACTTTTAAATAATAGACTTTACCTGAAATGTGTCTCTAACTTGCCTCAGTATTAGGTATTAATATAAGGGCATGTCAGTGATCACCTTCTCGTCTCCCTTCATTCCCACATCGCAGCTCCAGGTGTTTTTTGGTGTGTGGGACCCTCCTCTCTGCAGTCTCACACACCTCGGATCACCTGGATGAGTGGTCATGAAGATCACTGCAACCCCTCTGCCGCTGTGTCTGGGCAGGGAAATCCCTCAGTGTGAACATGCTCGGATCATAACGAAGAGGAACCCTCTTCTTAAAAAATATGGTTTCTCAGTTAGTTACCGGAAAAGGACGAGTCAAGGGTTGTGTGTATGGGCTGCCCTACTGTTGTTTTATCGCTGTGCTTTTAATTCTGGTTTTAGTAACATCTACATGCTTTCTACGTTTGCACATCATTGTCTGTAAATTATTATTGGTGAATTTTGCGCATATTTATCATTCAGCCTGTCCAGATATCATTCATAATTAGTTTGGTCAGCGCTTTTGAGTTTTAACATTCGTATAGCCCCCATTGATATTTTTTTGCTTTTTATTATCCTTTGAGTCCCTTAACTGTACTTTCCATAAACTCAGCCTGTCATTGATAGTGATAAACAGTCTAAATGTGTCCTCTTATAAGTAAAATAAAGTGAAAAGATTTTGGTTTAGAATCTCTGTAGAAATATGGAAAACCAGGTATAATCCAAATCTTTGTAAAGGTTTCTGCAGTAATTGTTCCCAATCCAAATGGAAGCAGCTAATCGGTGAGTTAAAGTGAAGTTAAGATGTTTAAAGTCATACAGCCCCACATGTAGAGCCCAATTCTTTTAGTCACTCAGAGAAGTGCGTTATATTGAGTCATCTGACTTTTTGGTTTTATTTAAATGCACTATGACATAGTGTTGGCCATAGTAATATACCTGACATTGTGGATCTACAGTATGTTATTCCTGGTCAGCATGTCTGAAATGTCAAAGGGAATGGTCCAGTCACTCCGCTCTACATCCACATAGACGAGCCTGTGGTTCAGGCTTAAAGCACAAAAAAAAGAGATTTTGCTCTTTATTTTCCTCCAAAGTTTCCTCCAAAGTTCCCAAAGTCTCAGTGTCTCTGGTCGTATAAGAGTGGAAGGTTAAGAAAAGACAATCTTTGCAAATCACTCCTCCTGCTGGCACTGTGCTCCATTTTCTTGACCTCCCTTTAATTCATGCTGTACTTAGTATATAAAGGACGTCATAGGAAACCACAGTTGGTTTTGCCTCGGTGCCATGTTTGGGAAACGTTTATACTGCCCACTCAGTTCCCTCATAGAGGCTTAAAGTTCTTAATGTACTTAATCATGCAAGGTTGAGCGCCTTGATAAAAGTCTGCTTTTTAACCTTTCAAGTAGGTTTCACTTCTCTTTGTCAAGTAAAGAAGCAGCTTCAAAATATTATTGAGTTTGCCGAGCCGCCCCAGATGTTTTCTCGTTAGAACAGACCCTGTGTTGCCCCCAGAGAGAAACAGGGAATTTCCACCAAAACGAGGTTTCCTCTTTCCGCACTAACACTGACAGCATGGTTTGTGGTGCTGCTGGAGGAGAATGAGGTTGCGAGCTAATAAGTTAAAAAAATTTAAAAAAAGATCCCTGAACTCTCCCGGCCTACTGTTGAGTCAAAGGCACTGCTTCGGTCTGAACCACTGAGAGCAGGTCACACTGACCCAGCCAAGGGGAGGTCAAAGCAAACTTCCTGCAAAGCCTGTTTCTCAAGTGTTAGCATATGTCTTCCCAGACAAACCTGTGCGTTTTAAGCTCAAGTGAGCAAACACACTTATGGGAAAAAAACATGGTGAGTCGTGCAAAGATGAGATAGTATAGGATATCAAGAGACAGATGGTTCATAAAATATTGGCATTGTGTGATAGTGTGTCTCCTTCTGCAAGTGCACTTTTACTTTTGAATGTTCATGTTTGTTTTTGTTTATATGCTGCAACTATAGAATTGCACATTTTATTTTACTTGAACAGTATACTGTAATAAAGTCTTTTAATTGTAGATGTTATCATTTCTTACTAAATAACAACTGAGAATCTTAACTTTGATTTCCTTGTTTCTGCTGTGACGTGGCAAGGCGGTTGGAGTGGTGATAAGGTCACTGTTGCCTGAGGTTTGATTTCTTTATGGCCCACTGCTGGCGTGAAGGTACCCATGAATGGATGTTGACTTCCTGAGCTGTAGGAGGCCATCAGCAGCAACTCTGATCACTCATTTTCACTCAAGTTGTCGTGGCGATTGAATACTGCTGAATCAGTTATCAGCTCGCATTCATCTGTATGTATTTTTGTAGTTTGTGATGAGCATTCATCAAAACGGCCATATGATAAGCACTTTTCTGACTTCATCCAGTCGGGATTCAATCATGTGATGAAACGCAATCCAACTCAGTTGTTGCTTAGTAACTGTTATATAATCAACCATAAATCCTACTGTACATCTCAAGTAACCTATGCTGTAAATAAGATTTGTCTATTGAGGGTGTGTTGCTCATTGATTGTAATGATTATGCAATTCCCAGTAAACTGCTTGTTTTTTCAGTTAATACCAGTCACCTGTGTCCTGAATGTTAATGTTGATATCTGTGTCTTGTCAGTAGTCTACTGTAGGTTCATGTTAAAGTGGTCCCTTTTAAAGTGCATCAGATCCTTCATAGCCTATAGGTAAATCCCCCCCCATCCTGTGAGCACACATTAAGTTATTACACATCAGGTTTATAGGCAGCTGACTTAACAGACCCTGAAATTCCACAAAAGAATCCATGTACATGATTCATTTGCCTCGTCCTCCGTTCTATAGTCCAATCATTTCTCTCAAAGGCAGTGATGGTGAGGTTAGGATATCAGAGGACTTGTATGATGAAGAGTAAAGGCCCTCTGTGTCCAATTGTCTGGATTTATGTTCTTAGGTCGATGGAGCCATGGCTAGAGTGGTTTAATGTAGCTGAAGTGGATATATTGACAGATTTATTGATCCTAGGCAGGCTGTCAGGATGACCTCATAACCAAGTTGCAGAATTTACTGCGGAAGAGTTGTGACCACTAGATGGTGCTAAAATACAGGACAGAAAAAACCTCCAGTTCCTGTGTTGAAAGACTACTGTGCTAAAAGTTAAGGTTTAGTTCATCATTTTCATTTTTGTTTTGTGAAAAGCAGATGCATACCGATATCTTGTCAAGGCAACAAATGTGTTGAAGAATAATTACAATTTTTTTTTTTTTGGATATTAACAGCATATTTTAAGACTTGTCAATGACAGTAACATCTAGGTGGGAAATGTCAAGATCAACTTTTAATGAGTCCCTTTTCATAGACGATTAATCATCACAAGCAGAAACGGTTGGTGTTCATGTATCACTTTATTTTTTTATTTACATATAGTGGGATATATTGATGTTGGTAGCTGAACTAGAGACAGTAATACATACAAACACATATCTTCCACAAACTCACACAGGTGGACAAGAAGGGAAGCAGTATCTTAGTAATCTTTCACTATTGCCGAACCATTACAAAAAATAATACAAAAGTTCAATAACAGTAACATTTGAACCCACCTGACACCTTTGTAACTGGATATGGTTAAAATTAGCACATGACAAGTAAGTCCAGCAAAGGGAGATTAATAAAAGTGGGTGTTTTTGTCAAAGTTCATGAGGCTTATAGAAAGAATGTAAAAGCCAATTCATTGTATGCAACGCCAAAGCAAATTTATGTATATTAAACAACTAAATACTGCTCAGACCCTATAGTGAGCAAGAGCCACTCTTTCTGGAATGAATGTGTTAATTTCACAATATTCAACATACACAAGATACACCATACGAAGCAAACTTCACAGTACTGCTTTATGTAAAATATACTTTATGTCCAGGTCTTTTTCCATCTGAGTGCATTTATGTTTTTAGTGTCACCAACAAGCACCACTGAATACACGAGTTGCATCAAATGATCTAAATAATTTGAAATGACAACAATTACAAGATCCAGAGTACAGCCACCTGTGCAAACGCAACATACACTGTTCATCATCATCAGCCGTGAGGACGTCTGACGCAGCAGAGGTTGCCATAACACATCGTCAAAATGGTACTCACCCTAAGTACACTCTATTCAATTATGAACTTGCCGTGGTGGGTCAATTGCTTTAAAGGGCTTTCGAGTTGTAGTCTGCTTGTACTGTGATCCAGATATAAAATGAGCACAAGGCATGACTGGCCTAATCCCACATCACTTGCAAACTCTTTTTTTACATGGATTTACAGAACTGGCTGCAAGGCTGTTGTATGGATCATTATTATCATCATTATAGGCGGTCTCTCTTTATACATGGTGCTTGTTAGTTACAGTAGTGCTATTAAATTGATGTTTAGGTTAATGAAGACAAGAGGAGGAGGAGGGCAGGAGAGAGCCATGTCATAACTGGTGGATCTACGTCAGTGTTTCTACACTGCAGAGATAACTTCAAAGACTAACTGGCCACTACATGAAAGAACTCATTTCTGCAGCCTCTGGCTTTGGGGGGGAAAGTGACCAGAATATCAAGTTGATTGCAACATAGGCAGTATATGAAATGTTAACATGTTGAAATGCACAGCCTCTATACTGGGTGTCTTCATTACAAGTACAACAGATAAAGACTGCTGTGACAGACAGGTTAATTGAACTTCCATATTATGAATTCACCCACCCCCCGAAGTTCTGAGGCAAGAAAATTAACCTTTCCAGAGTGACAGGATCAAGGAGTAGGTTGGTTCAAGTCGCCAGGGCAGCAGATTAGTGAGCAGGTAGGAAGGATGGTTGTCTGTTTTCTACTCTAGTGACTGGAGCATGAGGAGCTGCTTGAGGACCTTGGTCTGACTGGTTTCCCTGATCTCTCCCGCCAGGAACATCTCATCCACCACTGTGTACACCTTCAAGTGTAGAAACAGGAGGTGCATTAGCGGATGGGCATTGTCCAACATTATGATGAAAGGAAATCAGGGGATTAAGCCGACGCAGGACTAAAAGCAGTACAAAATACCCTAAATAACATGGCACTGTGACTTTATTCCCTACATGTGAAAGGGTTTGGCTTTCCTGGAATATTGTCCTATAAAATGACAAGTCATCATCCAGCCTGTGGTCACTGTTACTCAACTCCACCTCTGTGTCATCAAAATATAAAAATAACCGCTGGATGACTACATACACGGAGTGGTTAACATTACCACACATGAATTAATGTTACAAACATGATGGGGTGAATCACTCCTCCGTGAGGTGGGCAACTTAGCTTCTCAAACAGTTTTGGCTTAATACCAGCATGATTTGGAAGAGGTTATTGCAAGCAGAAGTTTCTTACATTTCTCTCAATTGTTAATTTGTGGTTCATAACACGTCAAACGTGGGTGGCGCTTCGTTAAAGCTAAGCGTGTGGGCAGATGTGAACACCTTGACAATTAGTTAGAACGCTAGCAACAGTTGGGGGAGTTCAGAGGTGTTTGTTGCTTAGCATTTACTTTCTGTGAAAAATATATATCCACCCACCTACTAAAATGAATTAGATAGATCTCAACGCATGACCGCTCGAGTTGTGAACATTATATCAGTTGCTATGGCACTGTAATGAAAGAAACGTTTTCTCATCTGCCTTTTGTACTCCCCTGCTCCTTGTCTGACCGAGGTGTTAACAAAACAATTAGAAAATCTCACAAAGGCTAAAATAATCTTAACCTTACCTTGTAGAAGTTGAACACAAGGTCCAATTCACACACGTTGTGAAAATATTCATTCAGCACCTTACAAGAAAGAGAGGAACAGTAAAAAAACAACAACTTTACTTTGAGAAGATTTAAAGGTGTTTGGTAATTGCATGTCTTGATGTGATACATTACTGCAGAAATAAAAACACCGTAGTAGCAGCAGAATCCACTTAACAACCAAGCCGATTTCCACTATGAGGATATCCATCTAAAATACAGCAAATTAAAATTAATGTGCTTCTCGTCTCATCTTGTTTCCACAAGAGATCATTTTAAAGTAGCGACACGGTGTCATTTACAATGGCGGAACGGCTGACCCCTTGTTGAGAATTTGCTAAAGTGAATGAACGAGCACCGTGAAGTTGTGATGTGATGTGAGTGTGTAGTTCAGCTTCGTTTATCTTAACATCAATGGGTGCAGTGACTAAAAAAAAAATAATAATAATAATCTAAAGAACCATGCACTGTATTGCTTTTAAATTGGTTAGTTCTCCTCGAACCCGTGGCAATATGCAACATGAAGCGTAGTAAGTACAACTGCGCTGTGCATTTCAGAATGCAGTTGCATGCATTCCTTCATAGTCAAACATTACATCAAATGACCTTCACTCCTGAGGACAGAAAATGGTCGGCAGTTTGACTTCGGAAAAACAAACAGTAGATTGTACCTTAAGCTCACAATTTCAGTTAGTACTATTTAATTTCTAAAACTGAATATGATTAGAAAAGGAAAATGTTGTTATACAGCAATTGAGCAAACAAAGTGATAGAACAAGACACACTTGAGCTTCCTAATGCTTTCACATATTCACCAAGATTTATAATAAACCATAGCAACATATGCACTGATTGATTCAATCAAATATTACAATATTTAGCTATAACAAAGACATTATATTTCAAATGAGACGGCCACCATTTTTAAATTGGCACAAACCCTATATACAGTGGGTACGGAAAGTATTCAGACCCCTTTAAATTTTTCACTCTTCGTTTCATTGCAGCCATTTTCCCAAAATCAAAAAAGTTCATTTTATTTCTCAGTAATGTACACTCAGCACCCCATCTTGACAGAAAAAAACAGAAATGTAGAAATTTTTGCAAATTTATTAAAAAAGAAAAACTGAAATATCACATGGTCATAAGTATTCAGACCCTTTGCTCAGTATTTAGTAGAAGCACCCTTTTGATCTAATACAGCCATGAGTCGTTTTGGGAAAGATGCAACAAGTTTTTCACATCTGGATTTGGGTATCCTCTGCCATTCCTCCTTGCAGATCCTCTCCAGTTCTGTCAGGTTGGATGGTAAACGTTGGTGGACAGCCATTTTCAGGTCTCTCCAGAGATGCTCAATTGGGTTTAAGTCAGGGCTCTGGCTGGGCCATTCAAGAACAGCCACGGAGTTGTTGTGAAGCCACTCCTTCGTTATTTTAGCGGTGTGCTTAGGGTCATTGTCTTGTTGGAAGGTAAACCTTCGGCCCAGTCTGAGGTCCAGAGCACTCTGGAAAAGGTTTTCGTCCAGGATATCCCTGTACTTGGCCGCATTCATCTTTCCCTCGATTGCAACCAGTCGTCCTGTCCCTGCAGCTGAAAAACACCCCCACAGCATGATGCTGCCACCACCATGCTTCACTGTTGAGACTGTATTGGACAGGTGATGAGCAGTGCCTGGTTTTCTCCACACATACCGCTTAGAATTAAGGACAAAAAGTTCTATCTTGGTCTCATCAGACCAGAGGATCTTATTTATCACCATCTTGGAGTCCTTCAGGTGTTTTTTAGCAAACTCCATGCGGGCTTTCATGTGTCTTGCACTGAGGAGAGGCTTCCGTCGGGCCACTCTGCCATAAAGCCCCGACTGGTGGATCGCTGCAGTGATTGTTGACTTACTACAACTTTCTCCCATCTCCCGACTGCATCTCTGGAGCTCAGCCACAGTGACCTTTGGGTTCTTCTTTACCTCTCTCACCAAGGCTCTTCTCCCCCGATAGCTCAGTTTGGCCGGACGGCCAGCTCTAGGAAGGGTTCTGGTCGTCCCAAACGTCTTCCATTTGAGGATTATGGAGGCCACTGAGCTCTTAGGAACCTTAAGTGCAGCAGAAATGTTTTTGTAACCTTGGCCAGATCTGTGCCTTGCCACAAGTCTGTCTCTGAGCTCTTCAGGCAGTTCCTTTGACCTCATGATTCTCATTTGCTCTGACATGCACTGTGAGCTGTAAGGTCTTATATAGACAGGTGTGTGGCTTTCCTAATCAAGTCCAATCAGTATAATCAAACACAGCTGGACTCAAATGAAGGTGTAGAACCATCTCAAGGATGATCAGAAGAAATAGACAGCACCTGAGTTAAATATGAGTGTCACGGCAAAGGGTCTGAATACTTATGACCATGTGATATTTCAGTTTTTCTTTTTTAATAAATTTGCAAAAATTTCTACATTTCTGTTTTTTTCTGTCAAGATGGGGTGCTGAGTGTACATTACTGAGAAATAAAATGAACTTTTTTGATTTTTGGAAAATGGCTGCAATGAAACAATCAGTGAAAAATTTAAAGGGGTCTGAATACTTTCCGTACCCACTGTATATATATATATATATATATTTTTTTTTTTTTTTAAAAACACTGCATGCTCAGCTACTGCCTGACAAAAAGAATTATCCCGAAAATAAAATACTGGACATTTCTGGAATTACATTTTTCAGACATTTCTGGCTCACCATAGCTGTCTGGGTGGTGTATAAATTGTATGCGGCAAGAAGCTCCAAAATCTCAGACTATAAGCTCCATCCAGGAAACCTGTTCTGTCAGTATGAAATTGTATCTTGGAGTTATGGTGTTTGAAAACCTCTGCTACAGTCACAAATGCCAGCATGATGATATTACATCCCACGTTCAGTATAATACGGTGGTAGGTAATGATACACTGCAGTTACGTGAATAATACAGGCTGATGAGTCCCGAGTTCCAGGTTCCAACAGCTTCTGAACAGAGTGCTGGAAGTCAAAAAAACATAAATTCTCTGTATCATGGCTGTTTTCAATGACAATGTCCAAGGCCACTATTCTGCAAGAAGTCCATCCCAGCTTGATGCGTGTCCACCCATGTGTGTCCCAATATAAAATCCTAAAGAGTCAAGAAAAGGTTTGACTGTACCTTTTTAATTTAGAGTATACAAAAGGTTTGGTCCATTACCAGCCCAGCGCAGTCCACCAAAAGTTACTCAAAAATATTTCGCTAAACACGGTCAAAAACTTGTTACGATCCAGGGCTCTTGCAGATCTCTCCTAAACTCTCCCATGTTACTTTTTTCCTACTGCCCATGCGCAGCAAAATTACTCTTCTGCATGACCCATGAACATATAGCATGTGATTAACAACAATTTAGCAAATCACCATATATGCCAAAGTGGCTCTTACACTCTGTATTTGTATAGCGCTCTACATCGCATTCACTATTCACACACATTCATACACTGGTGGAACAGCCACACTTCAACATGCAGCCTGGAGGAGCTGGGGATTGAACCGCCCGTCATAGGTCTCATGGCGCTGACATTGCTACAAATACACATTAAACATATTGATCTTTGAGACTTAGTTCATTCAGGGAACCAAATAAAAAATGTTCTGGGTCAAAATATGGGCAAGGAACTTTATCACGTCATCTAACTTTCATTCATTTGCTAGTTGAAAATGTTTAATTACATACGTGTGAAAGTAGCTTTACTGATTCACTTCACTGAGCTCTATTTACAATCCTTAAATGAGCTACTGTTATGTTGAACATCAGACAACATTTAATCTGTGAACTGAAATAATTAAACTTTCACAACTAAATACACTGACTATCCCTTGTTTATTGCCATACACAGATGAACAGACTTTTAGGAAACCAATTTTATATTATGCAATATCTACTACTTGTATAACAGAAATAACTGAACCAAAGTCAGATTAAATTATTGGGTAATCTGCTGCCAAGTCAACATCTGAAATGATGAGTAGCAAAAAATCCTCAAATGCATTTACGTTTGCTGTGTTTTTCTGCAGTAGAATCACTTTAGGGGCTACCATGCGCACTGACGAGGGGTAATTGTGCTAAAATAGGGCACAAACTTTAGCAAACTGCAAAGTATCTGACCAAAATTATGCAAATTATAAAGTATTGGCTCCCAACTCTGAAATCACTGTATCATTGCTATTAGTAACATTTGTCTTCTTGAACATTTCAGTGTTTGTGCAATGTCTGTGCACTCAGTTGCAATCGGCCTCAGTTGGTAATTAGTTATCAATTAGTTATTTTATTGCTGAAGGCTTATTTCCACCATCACTTGACCTGGCATTATCTAACACTGATAGAAGTCAATAATGACATAAGAATGTAAAATGAATTTGATTCGACATAAACTCATTGTGATGCGTTTTGGAATTTGTACTGAAAATAAACTGCCACGCTGAGCGGTTACACTATGACTCATTTGTTGTGCTTACAATCTGAAAATCAATATTCTGTTGGAGACACATGATTTTGACCATAGTGATTTAGACACCACTGCGAAATCATACAGTTAGTGTGGAAAACGCCTTATACGTCTCTTAATTTAAGGCGCATCACCCATAAACTTGAGTACTGAATACTGCTTTGAGAGTCAATCAGACACCATCCCACGTGACTCATCTGCTCAGCTTCAGCCTCAGTCCACCACTTCTTCCCCCCCCTCCTCAGAACTGGCCAGCTCCACCCCCTCCCCTCCTCCCTCCATCACAGAGAGGGAAGTCAACAGTCTTTTCAGGAGGCACAAACCCCGCAAAGCAGCTGGGCCGGACTCCGTCTCCCTATCCATCCTGCAGCACTGTGCTGATCAGCTGTTTCCGGTGTTCACAGACATTTTTAACACCTCACTGGAGACATGCCATGTGCCACCCTGCTTCAAAGCCTCCACCATCATCCCTGTCCCCAAGAAACCAAGGACCACAGGACTAAACAACTACAGACCCCGTTGCCCTGACCTCTGTGGTTATGAAGTCCTTTGAACGCCTTGTGTTGTCCAACCTAAAATCAATCACAGACCCACTCCTGGACCCCCTGCAGTTCACCTACAGAGCCAACAGGTCTGTAGGCAATGCAGTAAACATGGCCCTTCACTACATCCTACAGCACCTGGACTCCTCAGGAACCTACGTCAGGATCCTGTTTGTGGATTTCAGCACTGCTTTTAACACCATCATCCCGGCCCTGCTGCTGGACAAGCTCTCCCAGCTGAGCGTGCCTGACTCCACCTGCAGGTGGATCAGACTTCCTGACAGACAGAAAGCAGCACGTGAAGCTGGGAAAACATGTCTCTGATCAGCACCGGTTCCCCTCAAGGCTGCATTCTTTCCCTCCCTTCTCTTCTCCCTGTACACCAACAGCTGCACCTCCAGTCACCAGTCTGTCAAGCTCCTGAAGTTTGCGGACAACACCACCCTCATTGGGCTCATCTCAGGTGGGGATGAGTCCGCCTACAGGTGGGAGATTGACCATCTGTTGACCTGGTGCGGCCAGAACAGTCTGGAGCTTAACGCTCTGAAGACAGTGGAGATGGTCGTGGATTTTAGAAAGAGCCCAGCCCCACCCTCCCCATCACCCTGAGTGACCCCCGCCACCACTGTGGACTCCTTCCGCTTCCTGGGCACCATCATCTCCCAGGACCTCAAGTGGGAGCTGAACATCACCTCCCTCACCAAGAAGGCCCAGCAGAGGATGTACTTCCTGCGGCAGCTGAAGAAGTTCAGCCTGCCAAAGACAATGATGGTGCACTTCTACACGCCATCATTGAGTCCATCCTCACCTCCTCCATCACCATCTGGTACGCTGCTGCCACTGCCAGGGACAAGGGCAGCCTGCAGCGCATCATTCGCTCTGCAGAGAAGGTGATTGGCTGCAATCTTCCTTCTCTTCTGGACCTGTACGCCTCAAGGACTCTGAGTCGTGCAGGAAAGATTGCAGCTGACCCCTCCCACCCCAGACACAAACTGTTTCAGACTCTCCAGATCCAAATGCGCCAGACCCAGAATAATGCACATGTATATATCTGCAAAGTTGTCCTTCTATTCCATTTTTATATATTTCTACATTTATTTATGTTGATTGTATGTTTGTCTACGTGTAGCACCTTATCACCAAAGCAAATTCCTCGTATGTGTAAAACACTACTTGGGAATAAAGCTCCTTCTGATTAACAATTAATTTCTTCCACTAAATGTCAATTGACTGCAGTCCACACTTCCCACAAGAATGCAGGTTTGATACTAAGGAGCTGCAAGACAGTAGAGGAGGTAAAGTTTTGAAGGAAATCATTAACAGACATTCCTGAAAACGATCAGACCATGACAAGTAAATCATCATAGTTCACTTACTAAAGTCTATATCTCATGTGTTGTGTGTGTCAGTTACTTACCTCTACAAAGTTGTGGATTCCCTCGAGGTATGCCAAGTTGTTATCAGTCACATCCACACAAATACAGAAGTACAGACCAGCATAACGCCGGTAAATGATCTTGAAGTTCCTGAACTGTGAGAACAACACAGACAAAGCCTCTTAACAACTGTGTCTCTCATATTATGACAAAAACAGCAGCTTTACTTGGACTTAAGCCTCCCAGCTTTAAGGTAAACACATCCAGTATATTTCTAATAACGGTACGACAAAATGCATAATAAAGCATTTCAGCAGTCCAGGATTTTGTTTCTTTTGACAATGTATTTCTCTAGAATCCCCCCATTGATTGAAATGCTTATTTTACAAATTGCTTTAGAAAACTGAATGAGATACTTGTTTAAGTATCTAGTGGAAAAAGCTTGTGGGATGAGGGACACAAGTGAGTCACCCAATTATTTTACTGTAAAGAAGCCACAACAGAGTTGTTTAAGGACACTGTGGTTTCAGTCATTATACTGCGGTCCTTGACAGGATTTTAGAAAAAGGTTTCTGGTTCAACTGAACAAAGTAACATAATGGGGCAAGTCACAGCCTGCCCAGAAAAGACCCATACAACCATGCATGCATACATATAATACTGATTAATCCCATACCTCCACAAAGTTGGTGTGCTTCGCATCTCTGACAGTTACCACAGCATGCACTTCCTCAATCAACTTCTGTTTTTCATCATCATCAAACTGCATGTACCATTTGGCCAGTCGCGTCTTCCCTGCTCGGTTTTGGATGAGGATGAAGCGGATCTTTGTGACAAAATTGAAAGACACAAAATTGAGATTACAACAAAAAATAGTATACAAAAAATACTTGTCCCTGAGAAACGACAATCTATCGACTCGTTTCTAATTCAACGCTAGAAGTCATAAATATCTAGCAATATTAATATCTCAATATCTGTAGCTAACAGTTAGATACAAATTAGAAGTGTTAGCTTAAGCTAACGTTTAAGCTAGCGTTAGGCGAACCACACCCATTTATTTTGACAACATGATTGTGCAAAACCTTTGATAAAGTAAAAAAAAAACCTAATTGAGCGCAGTAGTAGATGGTCTGTGGGAAGTTAAAACACTAACTGCAAATCCGTGGCCTTAGCCTGCTATGGTAAGTGAGCTAAATGACAAGCTAACGTTTTCTACAGACTGAATGAAGATGTTATCCAACTCTCAACCGCTAGCAGGCTAGCGGCAATACAATTACGAGAAGAAAAACGTACAGTGTTCGTGTGTAACATATTTACCATTGTCGTCTCCTAAATATGGATCTCAGAGGCTCCAGAATAGCAAGTTCCTGAACAATTATGCTACGGTTTTACATAAATACATCAGTATTTTTTCCGACCGCTCGTCCGCTATCTTCGCCAAGCTAACAGGAAGTGGAAAACTATGCAAAGTTGCGTTGCATGGTGGGGAATGTGGTTTTTACCACCACAATTAGAACCAATAGACGGGAATGTAGTACTACAAGAACCAGCGTCCCTCCGTGGTGTCTCTTATTGAGGCGTACTTTTGATCACATGAGAAGAACCAGTGCTGTTTACTGGTTTTCTCTCTGGCAGAAACATTATGCTTTTTTATTTCTTTTTTTTTATTGGCAAGATAACATACAAAACTCACTAAAAATATATAGGCTACCAATAGGTGCAATACAATCACTGTCTGTGCAAATGACAGAAAGACCCCTACAAAACAACACCGAACTAAAAAAAACAAAAACAATAAACAAACAAAAAGGGGGTAGCCTAGTTAGGGAAAATAGCTAGAGAAGAGAAAACAAGGTCTCATTCAGGTGCAGCAGCAGCATCCAGGGGGAGGAAACATTATGCTCTGTTGTTGCTAAATATGAAAATAGATAAGGATGGCAAACATAATAACATTTTAACACATAGGTTGTGTTTTAATGAAACCTAAGGTTTTATTTAAATTGAGTATCATCAAGATTTTTTAACATGAAACTAACTGGAGTATTTTTACCATACCAAATATGATGTTTTTGTTTTTGAAGTTTTAAAAATAGTATTTTATCCACTTCTACATAATAATGTATGTGTGTGTGTGTGTGTGTGTGTTTCATATTGATATATCCCGGTGGGGACTTTAACCTGAATGCACACAAACTAATGGAGACTCATGTCACCGTTGAGACAGAAACCTAGGTCCCTGTGGGCAGAGACTGTTTTTTTGAGTGTTAGGATTAGGATTGTGTTAAGGTTAGGGTTAAGGTTACGGTAAGTGGAATGCCAATATGTCAATGAGATGTCCCCATGGGAACAGAGGAAAGAATGTGTGTGTGTGTGTGTGTGTGTGTGTGTTTAAGGCCTACCACAGTTGTGACACCTCAGATTTAGGCTACTTGCATAGACAATACAGAATGAAAAAATTACAATGTATATTTCCACCATCTTGAGGTTACATCATGTGTGGTTGCTTTCTGCAGAGTCAGGGCTCAGAGTTTGTTTACTGGTCTGGTTGGGCAGCCAGTTCACCACAGAACATTGCCCAGACAGTTTGGACAGCTTGCCTCTGAGCGTTCTGGGCGTTTAGGGAGTCGGAGGGGGATGGGGGAACTGTGATTGTCAGGGATTGCACAACTGTGAGTGAAGGAATGTGCTTGCCCTTGGGACCCAGAAATATTTCAGCTGTGAATACAGAGAGGGTTGAGGTTGATAGAGAAAAGAAATTAAATGAAAGAGAAAACCAGTGAGTAAACAATAAATGCAGAGTTTTCCTTTTGCTGCTGTGTTTTAATACTGGTGTGTCAAAGCCCAAATAAAGTGGCAAGCTGTATATGATAGCTATACAGATTAACAGTTAAACACATGGATAATATTTAAAAGAACAAACATATTATGATAAAGCCCAGCCCATGTTGAAAAAACAGTGGTTGGAGAAAAGGATGTAAAACATAGGCAGATTATTCAACAGAAACTTTGACCCAAGCTAATCTTGCTCTGTGTGATTGAGGTCATGCAAATATTGCTGAGAACACAGTGACTAATGTGATTGGACAGAAGCTTGCGGACTTACTCAAATGGAGGGCAGTGCACCTTGAACCCTGCCCAACGGTGTTGTTAATGGTGGGCTTCAAACTGTGAAAGCGCACGTATTGCCCTTTATATATTATATAGTTTTTTTTACACAACTCATGTAGGAATAATAGAACTTCTATACTTACAATTATTATTATACTTACAATACATTCTTATGTTTTGGTTTTGCTTCTGACATGCTGTCTGTATTGGTACAGTGTTTTAGTCTTAAAGTGTCGAATTCAATTTCTAAATCAATAAATTGTGTTTTTACAGCCCTTCACAGTATTTGTTTTCATATCACACTAGGTTTAGGTTACCAGCTTGGACTTGCATGCTCGAGGAAGGTCAAGGAAGGACTAACAGGGAGAGAGAAGAGAATTCCAAGAGTCCCAATGCAAGACACTAAACATCTGTTTGAGCTTTTAGTAGTCTACAGACAGTTGTCTTGTACAACACTGCAGTTATTTCTGCTGAAATATACGTTAGAGGCTTACGTTTTTTAAAAATAATTTAGTGGCTGAAATCATCAAAGGACAGACAACGTCACAGCAACTCTTTCACCGAGTGGATGACTCAGGGCACAACACATAATTATAGGACTAACCTTTGAGATGATTTTCTCAGGAAGGGTATAAGATATTTTCCCTCTATGCTGCTCGATAAGGTTTTAGGTATAGGAGGAGTCTTTGGGTGAACACAGAACAAATCTATCACCCGTTATGTAGCAACAGAACATTAAAATCTGTTTGAGGGTGACAAATGCTTATGTTTGTGCGGTGAAATAGGGATCGGTTGTGAAAGGAAGTGGTGCGTGTGAGGCATTGGGCCAAGAGGGCAAATGGACCAAAATAAAGTCATTTAATTACAATCATGACAGGATGACATTTATATAGCGTGGAAACAGTGTCTCAATAGAACACATGTGATGGGGCCTGGCAACAATGGTCTGTTTGTTTTAACATATTAAAAAAAATACAAATTTAAGTATGAAAAATTATATGTTATAAGGTGACCATATGCTTTGAATGTACATGTTGATCGATGTAACTATTTAGGACAGCTGTCAGAAGTATAAAAACAAAGAGCAAACAGAAATTTAAAAAGTGCAATATTTCCTTCTGAAGTGTAGTGAAAGTATTTGCATAAAGTAACACAATGGAAATACTCAAGTACAAGAAGGCCTGCCTTAAAATTGTAGAAGTACCATTGACTCAAGTGCAGTAGCCTAGTACTTAATTCTTAAACTTTTTTTCATGTTTTTGTGAGTACATAAGGGTTCAGTCATTATTAGGCTACAGATATTTAGCCTATTTTATTTTTTGTGTGATTCATTTGTCCACTCATAATTATACACCTACAGGTCTGCGTGGTTGAAGAAATGTAAAAATGAAACTACCAAAAAGTAAAGAAAAATATCATATGGGTCACAATTGTAAGGCTTTTTTCCCCTGATGGAATTTTGCATTAAGTATATTTTCTCCGTAACGTTCATGACAGGTTGTTTAACAATTAACAATGGTGTAGTGATGTACGGCGGCATTGGGCAATAATATTCATAAACTGTGTGCGTGTGTTGTAATTGTGTCCACGAACCGCTGGGCGAGACTCTATCTCTTTCTCTCCCTCTCCCCCCCTCTCTCTCAGTTGTGTGAATAGGAGGGGAGATGCTGGATTCAGGAGAAGGTCCGCCATTATTGGGAAGCTGAAAAAAATAGACTTATACACCGTCACGCATTTACCCTGTAAGGGGCTTAACGTTAGAAAGGAAAACACTGCGGTTTCGGACGAGCTGTTGTTGAGTTATAGAAAAAAGCGGCGCTTTGGTTAATGAAGGCAGAGCTTATGGTCGCGTTTCCTACGGACTCTTTTATTTTTGACACAACAAAGGAAATAATAATTGGTCAAAACAACGTGGTGGTGGAACGAAGAAGGAAAAACACACCGAAACAACGCTTTCCAACGCCTCCCCCTTTTCTCCCCCGTAAGACGTTTCCAGCCGTGTTGAAAAGACTGGAGTTTGAACAGCATTTTTTCTTTTTCCTGACGAGAATTAAGTTGGTTTTTTTCTTCTCTCCTCCTCTCCCCCAGACAGGGTGAGAGAGGGAGATATGCATCTCGTTTCTGAAAACTTCAGACTGATGTAAATGAGCACGTAATGTGAGAAGCAATAGACCGAAGTCTGTTTACCCCATAAAGCGGAAAAATAATCGATGTGAATGCTGGTATGAAGTGTTTTTGTCTGTTTTTTTAAAAGTCTTTCACCGGCTTCGAGTCGCATAGAGAGAGAAAGAAAGGAGTGGACGCGGAGAGAGGGAGGAATGCTATGGTATGTACATTTTACTCTTCTTTTACACCAGATAATGTATGTGACTATCTGAGCAACACTGAAAATATATTTGAAGGCGTTTACTTCCTTTACTTCTCCCTACATTGCAGCTTGGGTTTATATGAAGTGTTGCCAATAACAAGAAACTGGGAGTCAACCCCATTCCCTCTGAGGGGCATTTGAAGCCCTTTATAGTAATAATAGTGATGCTTAATTTAATGATAAGGCATGGGGGTAGGCTATACAAATTAAAACCTCTTCTAATATAGGTTATAGTTGCCCTGTTGGGGAAGCAATATTGTCCAAACATTTAAATTGTTTGTCCAACAACACCTGGAATGCATTGGTCATGTCAGGCCTGCCCCAGGATGCCTGGAATATAGGGACTTTCAAGTGGTTATGGGGGAAGTAGGATGTTTCGTTTGGACTGTAAGGACTGTCAAGCAGCTGTTTAATGTTGAGTCTGCATGTTCTACTTTATTTATGCATATGCTCATCACCTCCTAGTTAAGATTTAACATTTAAGCGAATAATAAGTGAGATTCTGTGAAGTTTAAAGTTGCCTAAATGGAAGTGCCTGGGCTTTTATTAGGCATATTAGTGGCCGCAAGCCGTGGCCCTCCATCAGAGCTAGGTCATAATCTAAGCTATTGAACATAAACTTTTGTCATGAGTAATTATTTTCTCTCTCATTAAATGTTCCACTAACTTTGCAAACATCAAAGCTGTGTGTTCAGGGCTTCCTGGTGACACGGTTAGCTAATGTACGCACGCCCTGCCGGGAGGTAACTCTGTTCTGTTGCCTGACAGGATGTACAGTGTGTGTCTTGCTATTTTTCCACCAATTAAATACCTCAGGTGGGGAGATTTAATTTGCCTCTCTGGATGCTACATGTCTACCACTCCATGGTGTAAGATTAAGGTACAGATAGACTGATTATTGGGTGACCTAATAAGAACAATTAACACTACTGTTAATCTATTTTTGTGTCAGAACTTAATCTCATTCTCACACTGCAAGGTGGTCATTGGTCTGCCAGCCAC